CTCTCTCTTACGCACACACACACACACACACACGCATACACACATGCGCACACACACACGTGTGGCAGTGTATATTTCCATATCATAGCGGTATATTCGTTCGATTTTGCTCATCCTATCGATGGAAGTACCATGAGGTCAGCCGCAAGATTGGAGACTTACCTGCTTTCTCTCTCTCTCTCTCTCTCTCTCTCTCTCTCTCTTGCACGGCGACATTTGCATCTAACAGCACGTTAGTCCACACTCACACCGGGATTTCTTTTCGATGCATCTGTCGGTTGCCGTGTATCTTCCTATGTTCTTGTGGAAGATTGCTTCTCATTTTGCACATTGGCAGGCTGCTCAGTTGATGGGTTGATGACAGTTGATGCACACATGAGAAAAAAAAAGAAAAAAAATGTGGCAGTGCATATTTCCACGTTCTGGGTGAAGATCCATTCCGACTTTGCTCATCCTACACACACACGTACAGTCATGTGTTTTTTTAGTGTACTAGATGACCCGTTGCAGCTTCACCCTCAAAAACAGAAAAAGAAAAAAGCACAAAAGAAAGAAAACGCATAAGGAACTGCCCTATCATATGCCGCTTCTTTCACAATAAGAAAAAGAAGAGCCTGAGAGCAGATGAAAACCCGCGTGCAAGAAAATAGCAAGGAATACCACCGAACATTCTGTTTTCTTTATCTTTGTGTGTTTTGTTTGGGGAGCCGTTACCTTTGCAGCATCGTTTTTGTTTTGTGCTGTGCAAGAACTCTGGACTTTTCTGAGAAAATCCAGTCCGTCGTCCCGTTGATGTTTTTGGTAAAAATTCAGAATCAGACTTTGTTTGCTGTGTTCTCTGGATATGTTTGTGATCAAGCGATCTTGCATGTATGCCCCATGCTTACTCGTTGATTTTTGACGCTATGTGTGCAAGTGCATGCATGTGTGGGTGACTCGGATGATGTCAGTGATGATTGGCCCGGGGAAAGTGTTGGAAGGCGCCTCCAACTATAKGAGTGCTGCTGATGTTAAGCAGTTTTTGCATTGTATGAATGAAACAATCAGCATTCAATCTGCTTGGCAGTTGCTCTTCGAGTGGGGGACTTGTCGGGAGTAGCATTGCCATGAGAGCCATAATGCCGGGCGTAGCATGTGTCAAGAAATGTAGCACATGTCAGAGTCACATAATGGACAGCTTGGCACAGTCCCCCCCCTTCTCTCTCTCTCTCTCTCTCTCTCTCTCTCTCTCTCTCTCTCTCTCTCACACACACACACAAACACACACAAAAAAATAAATAAATAAAAAAAATCAAAAGACGAAAGACATCCTGGCACTTAGCGCGGCTATACCTCCCACCACCTCGCCGGCTTCCCCCTCACCCTCCTCCCTTCCCCCGTCTATCTTTCTCTTACACACACGTACGAAAAAAAAAGAGAACAGAAAAAGACAAAAAAGCATGATGAACCTTTAACCTCCCCCCCAGCCACCGACTTCCTCCTAATCCTCATCAACTCCCCCATCTCTCTCTCTCTCTCTCTC